AAATTTGGTGAAGTATTACACGGATTACAGAGGCATTACACTTCCATCTGTACTGGGTGATTCAGATCTGAAGAAGAAGCAGGCGTGGGCGGGCGGGTTGCCCATTCCCAATGCCCACCCGCTATGGCCGTAAGGTAGGCAAACCCGCCTGCATCTGTGTCTATTACACTTCCATCTGTACTGGGTGATTCAGAGAAGAAGAAGCAGGTGTGGGCGGGCGGGTTGCCCATTCCTAATGCCCACCCGCTATGGCCGTAAGGTAGGCAAACCCGCCCGCATCTTGTGTCTTCTCTGAATCACCCGGTACACAGGATTACTGGTGTCGTGGCCTCCTCAAGAAAATGAGGAAATGAAGCTTTCCCGATCCAACCAAAAGGTTTTGACATTCACTTTTGAAGTGACGTGTATGTATACCAGTTGTAACAGAGAGCACAGCATAACGGGTGTTGGTGTTGCATACCCGAAAAGGGTCATTTGGGCGCCTAGGGCGCAAGAGGGAGTTACAACGATTCCGCCTTGCTGCGGTGTTCGCTCTGCTAGACGCGGTATTTGTTCGCCGTGTGCAATCAATTAACCCGTCGCAAAAAGCAGCAGCGCCGCCGCGCCGCGGGTCCAATTTGAGTAAGTGCGCGGGGTAGGCGGGGCGGGAAGCGGCGGGATCGACAGCGACATGTTTGCTGAACGTAACCATGACGACAACGCCGCCAAACAGATTGGACCAGTGAACCAGGCAGGAACCAGGGCGCGGTGAGGAGGTATGGGAGGAGAGGGAGGTACGGGGGGCGCGCGCTCACCTCACACCCTGCCTCACACCTGCCGGCCGCCGGCCAGGAGGGTGTTCGGAGGCAGCTACCGGCGGCGGCTACAGACAGTTCGCCCCAACGCGCTGCCAACGCTGCTGCAGACCTTTCTTTCCCACTCATGATTGTGAGCACCTCGCGGACAGTGCGCCACGCCCCGCCACGTGGCTGCGGCGGACAACGTAGCTCGGGCTTAAAGGGGCGGGCGCGAGAACTGACAAGGGCTGCTCTGAAAAGGAAGACAAAAAGAGCTGGCCGCAGAGATATATACGGGAGGGAGAGAGAGAGTGAGAACAACGCAGGGGGGAGGGGCAGATAGCCCGCGGGGTAGCAGGGGGAGAGGGGGAGGGGTGAAAGTAGTGGAGGACGAGGACTGCCGGGTGGGGCGAAGCGTAGTCCGAGAGGCCGTCAGGACCGCCTTTCACCTGGCCGGGGATGGGGGAGTGGGAGGCGGGCCGAGGGTGGCCCGGAGCGTCAGCATAGCATGGACGGACAGCCTCGTGAATTTTTAACCAGCAGCGCGCTAGCCTGGCGCCACTACTCCGAAGTTCCGCCCTTGCGCACTCGCACGCCTTCCACCCCTCTACCACTCTTTCTCTCTCTCTCTCTCTCTGCCTCCCTTTCCGCTCTCTCTCCTCCCCACGCCCTCTCCTCCCAATTATTCCACCCCC